GAACTGCTGCAAAAAAGAGGTATGGATGTATTCTTTATTATTATGTACTATAAAAGCAAATACTCTGGCATAGCTCATAGCATGGTACAATTACTGCTTGTCAAATGAAAATCAAACAAAAGAACTGGAAATGATTAAGATGAAGACATTATGAAGTAGGTATATTGCCTTTCCATGGTGCTAAAGGGACAATGGGAGTTCATGACCCAAGAGCACGAACACTTTCCCATGTTATAGTGTTGATGATTTTTGATAACTTCTGAAGACTTCAAACCTATATTCCATCTTCTAATTTCCTTACAATAAATCACTACAAAATAATCATTGATTGCATATTTAGTCAATACAAATTTTAGGTATATGTTGACACTAAATATTTTAATGCAAGATTCTTTTTATGAAAGAAAACTCTATATTAAACCATCATTAACTCCTGTACCTGGTGTGTAAGTAAAACGTTGAGACTGGCTTTTTTTCCTCTTGCCATTGCAAAGATAAAAGTGCACCTGCACTGCAGCTGTAACTGCTGGGTTATGATAGGGAGGAACTTCAAGAACAATGTGAGCCTAAGGAGCAAGGAAAGCAAGATTGTGTTAAACGCAGAACTAAAAATGAAATGCACCTGCTAAATTCAGAGCAACGTATGAGCCTCAGCTATTAATACAAGGGTCTCCCCTCATAGAAAATTATGTTTACCAACTAGTGATACAAGTCATTTGGAGATTTATTTGTATAGATACTTCATTGTTGATAGAGATAAAACCTTTAGTCATTAAAGAAGAAACTGACTTTTACCCACCCAATAATGTTTCTAGTTATAATAGAAATAGAGTTGTCAGGCATGGTGATGGTCACCTAAAACCCCAGTACTTAGGGGGATGAGGCAAGTAGATCACAAATTCAAGGCCAACTGGGCTACACAATAAGATCTTGTTATAAAAAAGAAAGTAAATAATAAAAAGTCTTATTACATACTATGAACCGAACTACTTTGCTCTACTGAACACTGCAGATTACTATATATACTTTAACAGGAGATTCATTCTGGCATTTAAATCATTTTCTTTTCTTTTAAAATATTATTATTATTTTTTTTGTGTGTGTGTGTGTGTGTGTACATATTGCCTGCATGTGTGTAAGTACACTTGTGTTGTACAATGCCCGTGGAGGTCAGAAAAAGGTGTCAGATCCCCTGGAACTGGACTTACAGACAGTTGTTAGCTGCCATGTGGGTACTAGGATTCGAACCCGGTCTTCTGCAAGAACAGCCAGGGTTCTTAACCGCTGAGCCATCTCCCCAGCCCCAAATCATTTTCAACATTTCTTTTTTTTTTAAGTTTTTTTTGATTTACTTATTTTTATAAGTGTACGAGTGTTTTGTTTGCATGTATGTAAGTACACCCATACATGAAATGCCTACAGAGGTCAGAAGAAAGCATCAGACCCACCAGCACTGGAGTTGTAGCTGCCAGGTGGGAGCTAAGAACTGAATCTAGGTCCTCTGGAAGAGCAGTCAGTATTCTTAACTGCTCAGCCATCTCTTCAGCCTGATGTTTAACATTTTTTTTTTTCTTTTTTGTCTTTTTGAGACAGGGTCTCCTTGTAGTCCCAGCTGACCTGAACTCACTATGTAGACCAGGCTGGCCTTGAACTCACAAGGATCCACCTGCCTCTGCCTCCCAAGTGCTGGGATTAAATGCGTGCACCTCCATGCCTGGCTATGTTTAACATTTCTTAAATTGCATTATAGTTTTTTTTTTAATTTTGTTTTTTTGTGTATGAGTGTTTTGCCTGCATGTATATAAGTACATCCATACAAGTGATGACTGCAGAGATCAGAAAAGGGCATCAGATCTCAGGGAGCTGGAGTTATAGGTGGTTGTAAACTGCCACGTGGGTGCTGGGAATCAAATCAAGGTTCCTCTGTAAGCTATACAGCCAGTGCTATTAACCTCTGAGTCATTTCTTCAGCTCAACACACTATAAGTCTGTAGGAAAAAGAAAGAGGCAGGGTTTCCCTATAGCCACATGCAGCCTGGAACTCACTATGTAGACCAGGCTGGCCTTGAACTCACAGAGATCCACCTGCCTCTGCCTCTCCAGTGCTGGGATTAAAGGAGTGCACCACCACGCCCTGCTTAAACTTTTTTTTTTTTTAAAAACAGGGTCTCACTATATACTCACTATGTGGACCAGGCTGATCTCAAACTCATAAAGATTTACCTGCCTCCACCTCCCTTGTGCTGGAATTAAAGGCATATATCACATACCCAGCTATTTATTTTTCTTAGACTTTAATGCAAATACCAGACAATTATCACACTTCCAAACTTCTATAATTTACTTTTCTACTTCTTTTTTCTCTTTTTTTTTTTTTGGTCTTTTTGAGACAGGACCTCCCTGTAGGTTCACCTAGACTGGAACTTGCAATGTAGACCAGGCTGGCCTTGAACTCACAGAGATCCACCTGCCTCTGCCTCCCAAGTGCTGGGACTAGATTAAAGGTACGCACCACCAAGCCCAGCTACTTTTCTATTTCTCAATACTCTAAAACATACTCTAAACAGCAATATTCAGTTTTCTTCCTTAAGTTTCTTAGATATTTCTTAATTAATGAGAATTTCTTACCCCTTGACATTTTTCCCGAATTATTTTCCCTTCTGCTTCCCAATGAGGTCTTCCATCTAGTGAAAGAAAAAATTTATTGTTAAAAGCAATTCAAGTTAGAAACAGAAATTCTAATCCTTGCAGCATCACATACTGGCAAAGAGAACAGTTTTATTGCTGACTTAAAAAATTAATATATGAGCCGGGCGTGGTGGCGCATGCCTTTAATCCCAGCACTCGGGAGGCAGAGGCAGGTGGATCTCTGTGAGTTCAAGGCCAGCCTGGTCTACATTGCAAGTTCCAGTCTAGGTGAACCTACAGGGAGGTCCTGTCTCAAA